CCCCGTGTCAGCGCTGCCGGAGCAGCTGCCTTCGGCGTTCCTGAAAAGGTACCGTCTGCGCCAAGACTGCGCCACACTGAACATACATCACGGGAATCCAGCACAACGTTATTTAGAAATGGTTTTCTTCTGTGCTCCTGCTGGTTTTTAGGGAGCAGTAAAACGAAGTGGAAGAACAGAAGAGAGTGTCTGAGGCTCAGTAAAAGGGAGCGACACTTTCCAGCCCTCACTACGTCTGTCTGGAACCGGCCGAGGAAGTTTCGGACGGGCGATGGACACCGAGGAACCGAAGGAACCGAGTGGGGGTTTCAGGAGTTCTCTCTACCTCCAGGTCAGAGAACGGGGTTTGCGTGCGGGTGAGCGCACTGAGCTGGCGTGTGTTCGAGGGCTGACACGGACAACCCAAACCCCACGGCCAAAGGGAGTGCACCTCAAAGACGATCCTACTGCCCACCTCATGCAGAACACATCCGACAGATCTGCCGGGCACGGGTGGCTCCGGCGTGAGGAACGCACACACCGCAACCACGCTGAGCGGACCCGCTCCTGCGCAGGGCCGCACCGACCCGTCTGGTAACTGAGCTGGAGTCCAGGGCTCCTGCAAGCAGCTTCTCTCCTTCACTTCTACTCACAACATTTCTTCTTGTTTTTGCTTCTAACCTTGGTTATTTTGCTGTTTATCTTTCCAGCTGTGCCTGAGGCCGTGCCCACGTATCGGAACTGCGATACCGGAGTGTGTTACTTTCTTGCTGTGATGATCTTTCTGGACAAACTCCCTGTCTGACATAATAACCTCAAGGCTTCCCTCCAGTGCCACAGTCTCTACTTTCTCAGATCCCCACAATAAGAAATCCGACCTGCTTAGTTGAAACGATCCTTCCATTCAAACGCCCATGAATTAACGCGGTGTGGGAATCTACGTCCCCACCACAGCCTGACAGCCACCCACGTCCCGAAGCGTGGCAGTGCCCGCGCCTGCGCACGGGCTGCCTGGGTGGGACGCACTGTGCCCCTGCTCCCACTGGTGTCACAGCTGGGTGAGAAAGAGCATAAACACGAAGCCAGGCAGGCCGAGCCTCGGCTGGGTGGCGGTGAGACATGCGAGTGGAAGACGCCGTGTCTCCCGCAGAGCGCGGTGCAGGCAACCGCAGCGCACCACGGAACGGGAAATGCCCACGGACGCCGCAGCCCGGCGCACGCCTGCGGATGGAGCAGCAGCTCCGGCAGCAGCACCGCGCCAACGCCGCCAGAACACCGCACTTACCACCCGGAGGAGGTTTGTTCTTTGAAGTGAGGATGACGAAGCCAAATCCTTCGTTCTCCTTCCGCTGCAGACGGACGTCATAGACCTCTGGGGGCTGCTGGTTGGCCAACTCTGCCCGGTTCGGCCGGGGAGAGCCGTTCTGCGTCACGACGGGCTGCGACTCCTCCTCCTCCGCTTGCTTCTCCCCTTGCAGGTAACAGGCAAGAAACAAATTAGAAAAAACGATCCTGCTGGTTTACCAAGCAACTACAGCAAAACTGCATCTCGGCACCAGGGCCAGCACGAGGACACACTGCCTGCCCGGGAAAGTACAGGGTGAGCTCGTTAACTCAGTTAATGATTCAGTTTGGATCAAACAGGAATCAGAGGCAGGATACAGCAGCCAAAGGCCCACAGGTGTGCAGGGTTACGGCAGGAACGCCTGCTGCACGGGCTGCACGCAGCCCAACGGACCTGGCAGCAGTACACAGGCTTTGTCAGAGCGATCTGATGCCTTTTCTAGTGAAAAAAACCCAACAGCGTGGCTTTTCTGCATGCCACAAGTGCAAGATCTACGGCAGAGATCCAGCTACAAACCACAACTATTGCTATCTTAAATGAGGAACAACTGTTAACTTGGAACAATGGAAATGTCTTTTTAAAGGCAGTTTGAAGACTGAAGTCAGGTTTTCTTTTAGGAAACCTACAAAACTTTGGTCCCAAAGTAGTCTGTCTATCAGAAGGCATCTTAAAGAAATTGAGAATTGATCTTAAAAATACTTTTTCCTTTTACTTGTATATACTCAGAATTAATGGTTGAATGATGCAACGGAAAAGCGATACTGGCTGCTAATCGGATCGGGGGACCGTTACCAGTCCTCCCGAACCTCATTCAGGCTCTGCCATTCACATGATCAGCATCATCGAGTCAAGGACAATAATCTTCTGTACACTGCTGATCTGGACACGGATCCAAAACTGCCAAATCACAAGATGCTGCCCTGAATCACCTCTGGTTTGAACGCACTTACTCGTGCTACACATGGGTGCCAAAAGACTGGAGAATACAGCATGTCGTACAGAAGAGAGGTTGAGTTACTACTTGATTTGCACAGCATTAGTGGCTGTTCTAATGTCTGCAAAAAGGTTTGAAGAAAACACCACTGCCATCGTCATTCTCAGCGCCTTACCCGTGCGAGCGGTGCCAACTAGGAAGCACCAAAGCATCAGCTTGTTAAATCTGCTTTTCTGCACTTACTCTGATTACAGCTGACCCTCCTGAGCCTCAGGCTGCTCAGCTCTAGTGCAGTAACTGATGAGTTTCAGAGCAGCTTCAGCCGCTCCGGTAACACAAACGTAAGCGTTCCTTTAGCCGGATCGGTGTCCGGCAGCACCCACTCCGGACAGACGGACACGTACCACCAAAGAAGATCTTTCTCCGGACTGTGAGCAGCACCTGACCGTTCCGTGCAGCACTGGTCATTAAGTCCAAAACTTGCTTGTGCGACTTCCCTTTCACAGGGACTCCATCGATGCACATCAGCTCGTCCGCAGCTCGAAGCCGGCCGTCTTTTTCTGCTGCTCCCAGCGGGATTATGGCTCCGATGTAAATCTGTCAGCAGAGCAGAGGCAGGGGTGTGAGCGGCAGAACTTGAACTCATCGGAACACGCAACGGTCGGAATCCAGGTGAATCCAGACGGATGAGGGCTCTTGGGAAGGTATTTTTAAAGATCATCTGACTGTCCAATTCTGGCAGAAACGCAGCCAGCGAGTGTACTTTGCACGAGCCGCGTGGACACAATTTAGGGGCTCAAAGCATTCAGTAAATACACGTCGTGGGGACACGACGCGACTGTTATTTCCATGAATTCTGGAAGCATCACTACCTCTTGAGCATACTTGTCAGTTTGTTCAAAAGCCCAACTTTGGACGTAAGCATACACCGTGTACTTATTACATATATATAATTTCTCAGACATTACTGAAATGAAAGCCTCTGTCATTTATTCCACTCATTTTCTTTTTTTTACCAAGACCAGGCCAGAGTGATTGGAGAAGAAGTAAAAGCTTTTGAAAGAACTCAAATGTACTGCTGAAAAGTAGACAGTTCCATGCTTGAAGTTTTTTCAGTGCACAACTTAGATAATGAATTAATGTGCTTAGATAACGAATTCAAACAGCTGCACTCCCCTTATCAATTTTGTCTGCCCCCACCTCACAAAGCGCTACTGAACATAACACAGATAAGAACATCACCACGCTAAAACCACGTCCAGGTTGAATGAAAGGTTAAGAACAATTACAGCCAGTAGTTGCTGGAGATGAAGCAAAGGGAGGCAGATGGTCTGCACACAGCATTCAGGACACCACCCTGACACTGACCGACAGCCACGGCTGGTATGGGAAAAAAACAATGGCAACAAAACACCACAAATGCCATAAAGTGCAGCACAAGTGAAATTCTTTGGTTTTGCTCTTCCTTTTCTTTAAATGCATGTTGGGGCGGGGGAAAGGCGAGCATCGGATCACAGCTGGGAACGGAAAAATCGTATTGCTTAACTGCAGTCAGAAAGCAATCTCTGAGCATCGGTTCCAAAAGCTTTTCCTCTATCGCGACGGTGGGAGGAACAGCCCCCGACTCACGGTATGGGTCTTAGCAGTTCTTCCCAGGGAAAAAACTCTGCCTTTCTGGAAACAGGAGGGAGTCTCCTAAAGCAAGAACAGACGACCCACGGGTTTCACACCGGCATTTGCCCGTCTGCCTCCAGCTCTGCCGTTCCTGGCAGCTCCCTCCCAAGCAGGGTCACCCGAGTGAGGCCAGGCTGAGGCCAGGGCGCACGGCGACACCGACGGCTCAGAACCAAACTGACCTTGGCCACCGACCGGGCTGAAGCCAGCCAGGCTCTAACCAGCATCCTTCTCCCTGCGCAAGCACCAGAGCTACGTTTTGCTGCCAGTTACAGCGCAAATCATTCTGAATGGTACTGAATCGATCAATTTGGCCATCACTGAACTGTTTAGAATGAGAGGGAAAGGAGGATAATGGGGTGGGAGTCATGCTAATGGGAACATTGTAAGATAACACGTGGGCAACCGCAAACTGTTCCACTTACGGGCTGATCCGGTCCGTCCCCTCCGAGCACCCGGAAACCAAAGCCTGACTCTTGTTTTCGCAGGAAAACATCCAAATCTCTCGTGTTCGGAGCTAAGACAAAGCAACATTTCAAAATATGTAATAATCTTTGATTATTGAAAGATGATGTTTATTTTGGTGCATTCTGACTCTCCTTATCGACAGAACACAGTAACCAGAAATACAGTAAATAATTCAAACAGTCAGACCTTCAGTGACGTTCTCTTTCCAAAATGGAAAAATAAATTTTCAAGAAAAGGCCAAAAAAGGAGAGGACAGATCAGCAAATGCCAAAGGAGAAATCAGAGCCGCGTTGTATGGTGGGCCAGGATAAAATCCAGTCTGTAACACAACTCAGAGCCACCTTCTATAAACTCTGAAACGGTCAGGTCTGCTTCAGTTGACTTCAGACCTAGATCATCCTTGAGATAACTTCTGTGATTAACTGTTTTATCATAAATATGGTTGAAGCATATTGTGTCTTTTTTTAAAAAAAAAAACACTCCACGGTTTTCTAATTTCTGTATGAATTATGCATTTCTTGAAATGTTTTATCTACAGGAGATTAACAAACTCGATACGAAAGTCACAGTAGTTTTACCACACACATGACAGCAGAAATTCCTTCACAATTGAATATTTCCAAGTTGAAGTTGATATACTCACGTTTGTCCTCATATATGGTCTTAGATTTCAGGTAGACTTCTGACGGGTCTGGTTTAGGAGAGCCCGGTCGTACGGCGGCGGGCGGAAACGGCATCGGCTGTGGGACGGGATCGCCGACAGCTTCCAAACTCCCGGAGCTGTCCTGCCTGTCCTTCTGAAAGGCACCCCACCCACAAAGCCCCTTGAAATCAAAAGTGTCACTGCACTCGTGCACTTGTGCACACCACGACAACCAACACCGGGCGGAGGTGAGGGGCAGCGCAGAACCAGGGAACAGGAGAATAACGTTACAACTCAACGTGGCGTCCCCAGTGCGTGTGTCTGACCGGGCTACTGAAGTCTTCCTCACAGATGGCTTAGAAAGGGGGTCTGAAGCCACCCACGCTCAGAGAGGAGCAGAGCTGGCCAGAGCCAGCTCCTGGTGGCCACCAGCACCGGGGACGAAGCAGCGTGCACGGCACCGGTCGCGTTCGGAGAACAGACCGATTCCTGCGCCTGCCGGGCTCTGGACCACGGTCCACCACTGCGGGCGTGAGCTGCTCCGTGGGCACCGCCTCCCTCCTGCCAAACGGCATCTGAACGAGCACCCGAGGTGTGCCCAACACGGGCCGTTTGCTGCAGGTATCCCCGTGGCATCACAAATACCCAGCAGGAGGAACACACTCGGGTGGCACGAAGCATCAGACACTCAGTCTTTGCATTTTCCTTTCATGATCCGACAGCTGCAACACCCCTGATAGTATCTGACGAAGAAAGGACGCCAAGCATCCTCCTGGTCTCTCATCCTGATTTTCAATAGATTCTGCACTAAAATAACACCAAATACTTATTCTGGGCTGAAACACAACCTGGAAAACTGGGAATGGCAGTCTGCACATGTCTGTGCACGTTAAACGAATGCACAGCAGAACAGACTTGGCTATGCCCTTTTACAAAGAGGAGAAGAAACCCC